TCAGCTTGTCAGTAATAATACTGAGGATGCGAAATCCTTCATATCCTCGTTAGTACATACATCAATTTTTAATACGCAATTCTTATACACATATACTGAAAATGTTCATGATTTTCAAAATAGGAAGACGATAATTAAATATATATATATTAAATTATTATATATTTAATTTTATATTTAATTATTATAATATATATTTTTTCACATGGATATTATTCTTTGACATTACCCTCTTAATTACAAGAAATGTAATTATATATTTTTATATACTTTTTTTTGTATATGCAATGGACATATCAAATATAAGGATAATATTACCCATATGGATAATATTTTGGTATCTGATATGTCCGCTTTCGGAACTCCTGAGAGCTGTCGATTCTGGTGATACAAAAAAAAGATAGAATCTATATATGTAGAAAATTCGAATAGACCTTTCAAATTTCACTGATGATAAAATATGTAATACGCTCTTTGTGGCATATTCAAAGGATCTATTTGAATATTTTCTGTGATAGTGTATGCATCGTAATTACGGACAGTAATCTGTAAATGGTAACGTTACGCGTGTCAAACGTGTACCGAGACGTTATCGTTAAGCATAATCGCGGCGCGGCGCGACGCGTCGCCGCTCCAATACGATGCCAAAGGTCAACAACCGTTCCTGTTAGACGATGTTAATCCTTAATCGAGACACGGGTTCGTGCTCGCAGGGCGTATTCGTTCGGACACGTCAGGTCCACTCCACTTAACTCTCGCTCGCACAGATAAAGGCGTCACGATTATGATAAATGCGAGTTCCGAGCACACGGGAGTTAGGTAGAACTTAGCTTATGTAATGGGTAAAACGGCGAATTTTATCTCTCCGCGTGTATACGAGGCCAAACGTACGATTTAAACGTTTTCCTTTGCCCTCCGCGTATCCGTCTGTAATGTAACGTGGTATCCCGCACCAAATTACAAGTTACACGAAGCTCGAGCTCGAGCCGAGATGTTAAATGCTGCTGCAAGTTCCTACCCCGATACGCACGCGATCGTGCAACGGTTACAGTTTTTGCGTTCCAATTCCGTTGCGATCTCGCCCGTCGAGATTTCCAGATCAATCGGAGCTTTCCGGCGCAAAACGTTGGAACAAATTTACTTTGCATCGAGGACACTTTCGGAATCCTCGTTGCACGAGGGAACGTTTCCGTAAAAGGATGCCGAGCGCTATTATTAGACGAGAACGCGGGAGATTTATCGATAAGATACGAGAGACAAATGTGTCGCCGTATACATGTTATTAACATCGGAATTCCGGAAGCTACGTCGACGCGAAATGTTTCACGTTTCCGCATGCTTGTTAGTCGTTACTTGATTAGGAGCCAATTAGAATGCACAAGCGTCCCGCTTTCACAGGCAACCATGCATCCACGTGCAAATTTGTAATTACGCATGTAATGTAATGCTTCTCGTAACCGTAAATTGTTTCTTGGGGAACAACATAGAATGCTGTAACAGCGCCAGCAAGAGTAGGTATACGTTGTTCATGGCGTTTCTTCCGTCGCGCGTCGTTCGTCCGTGCTTACTTTTGCATCAACCCCTTCGGAACCGTGCACCGTGTCATGATTTATCTACGAAAGGATTTGAATTTTTCACGAATTGTTTCTACGTGGATATAAGAACTTTATGCGAATATTATTAAATAATTCAATTTCGTGTCCAATTGTTTTTTATCGTTGTTCGCTTTTTATTTTAGTTCAAGTTTGCTTTAGACACGATCTGTAGTTCATATCATATTTCAGGATAAAATTCTATTTATAATGTAGCATTATGCATAAGTATTTCAATATATATATTTGACGTGTGTGTGTGTGTGTGTGTGTGTGTGTGCGCCGATTCTTCAGATCTTTTTGATATTACGATACGTAAAATTATAAATAACATTCTATTTCAAATTCTAACAAATTATAGATCGCCAAAAGTGTGCTTTACATCATATGAATTTCATCTATATGATATGTTCATTTATTAAATATGAGTGCAGCGCGTGAAGAATATGGCAAACAAATTATTTGTTATTCCGCTCGAAATATCATGCAGATATAAAATTTCTATCGTACCCCGAAATAAATCCGCGAGGCGGAACAAAATATTACACAGAATTTCGAAACGTGCATATTGCAAATAAATAGGAATTATTACGTCGGACATAGTCGAGAATAAGAACGTATTGATATTGCGACAGGGAACAACACGCCGTATCTCGCTCTCGCGTCTGAAGGAGCTGCGTCATCGTATCGGGCTATCGGTCAGTAATTGAGGCGACGATAATTTATGCGTAGGGTAAAGTGTGCGGCATCTCGGCGGCGGCGGCGTAATAATTTATTCCGCGGAGAGATTTCGCGGTCTAGCGGATTTAAAGACGAGGGGAACGATAAGACGACTAGACTTTGCGCGCGCCGAGACGTGGCGCAACAGCAGCGCGAACTGACGCGGCAGGGCGACTCCACAATGCGAGCTGACACATCTCCGCGCGACCAATCATAATTATTATTCACGAGCTCAATTAGTGTGTCACGTCGTTAACGAGGTTGCAATGGCCACGGTGCCGGCGGCAGCAGCCGGCCGTTTCGTAGCTGCAAGCCTCGATTTAACAATGTCGCGCCGCGCCGCCGATCCCGGCGACGTGATGGTAGCAGTGGCGACGGCTTTGAAAGTTAATTAAATTTGTCGTTGAGCCGCGTTCGGTGCAACAAACTGTCGCTGTGACCGGCACTTTTGTCCTCGCGGCCCGCGCGGCCGACGCGCGCGCCGCGAGAGGGAAGACTTAATCTCGCTTCATTCATCATAACGTCCTTGTGTGCGCAATTAATTCAATGGAGGCTGAATCAAGCACATGATTTCGTGCATAATAAATAACAAAAATATCTGCGGTTGAGATCGATACGTACTGTAGCAAATAACGAATTTGTGGAGATTTATTGTCGAAACTGTCACGGGATAAATCGAAATGTATCAATAACTTGCACGATGTTAAGAATCGATATATCATTTAAATAAGAATAATAAGAAAATTATAATATATTGTAAAAGAATAATTAAGTTAGATAATATATTAAATGAGTAATAAAGTTAAAAATTGAGAGGCTGTTAGAAGTGCACAATACACATATATAGATCATTTTTAAGAACATAAACAACATTACGGCGCGAATTGCTATAGAATTCGTCGCGACAATTGGAGTCCTAATCAGGAAAAGGAGTTTCCGAATAAGCGCGTTCGAACAATAGGAAACCAGAGAAATAATGGAACAGACGGAATAAATTATACCGGCGACACAGCGGCCGCAACTTCGCGAGCTACGCGGCAAATTACTTTCGTCTATCGATCCCGCAGTATACCAGTACGCCGAGTTCGTGCTATAATATAATACACTTTGGCTATCGTTGATATTAATAATTTCTCCGTTGCAATATCACGCGCATCCCAATCAACGCTTTCGGGAAGTTCGCAGCACGTTGCGCGCGCCGACGACAGTCGAAATTATTATATTTGTCGTAGCTAACGTCAGCGGTGGAAGTGCAGTGTTAGGAATAACAAGCCACGAGATTATTGCGTATTCAATACCGCAGACACCGCACCGCTCGTATCATATTATGACGTTTTTATAACATAAAAACAATGCTATCATTAAAGTATTTTACATTTATTCTAACTTTCTAACACGTAGCAATTTTATTTGCCCAGCGTACCAAAATTATTTTAAAACAAGTTCGAAAGATGAAATTTTATTAATTAAACATGATATCTTAAATACTTGATTCATTTTTCTCTCTGCCTTCTTCCTTCTCTTTTTTCTTATTCTCTTTGTAATTGCATTCGATAACAATACAATAAAAAATAATTTATATTTCGAAATACCTCGATTTCAAAAAATATATTTTCTGTCGCGGATAAAATGAAAGAAGAGTGTACAATATTTATAAGATCGTAAATTATACATCGCATGATATATCACGAAGAAATATCAATATTACTCTTTCAGAAACAGTGTGCGGTTTGGATTTCTCTCTTGGGAGAATGTAAACAGTAAAAACGCCTGGAAATTATTTGTCTAGACACGCGATATGGGCTCTGTGAACGCACGTTACAGGTCAGATGAAATTTCTCGTCGAGTGAAGTTGTCCTGAAATTTTTTGACGATTACATTGTCCGCAGGAAATTAGATTTCCTTGTCAAGATTTATACACACGTGACTACTTAAATTATCTTCTTTTTTTTAAACAAATTTATATTAATTATTTTAAAGCGATACGTACGTTACCGATTTTTAATTATTAATTAAAAATTAAATTAAGCTATTAATTAAAATTAAAAATTTAGATTTTTAATTATAAACCCTTAATTAATTGTGCGAGAATTTGATGAGTATTTAGTGGTAAATCCAGGATACTTGTTTCGAACAGCTTGAAAATGTAGAGTACATATTTATGTAAGGGTATTCTTAAAAACAATATTAGCTTCATAATGTCTACTATTAAAGATAAAACAAGATTGAAAATGAATATTATATGATGAACGTAACTTGCATAGAAGTTAGAAAGAAGTATATTGTTATTCAGTGCTCGTAGCACTAAAGACTTATTAAAAATGACCTAACATCTTATATTGCATCTTGTATTATATCATAAGCTTGCTTGAAAGCGCATTTCATTGTTTCAGACGCCTCCATCACTTTTTATTAAGCTAGATGCGAATATTCCACAATTAACGAAGAATACGTTGTAAAGTGCATTGATCCATGCATATCGCATCGCTGCAACATTGCACTCTACGTAAAGCTTATAACAAAATGCGGTATCTAAAAGCTCTTCGCGGTACGCGAATTATTAATGACGTTACCTCGAACGTTAAGTTGCGCAACCAGTGTTAATTAATTTGAGGCGCAATCGAAGCGAAAAGCGATGGCGAAGGAGAAAGAGGATTTTGGTACACAGCGAATTTTCTTTCTGCGCAGGAGAAACATGAAGTAACGGACAGCGACGCATTTTGCTGCCCCGAAGGGCTCCTCAGCGTCTGGAAGCAAAAGACCGGTGGACACGGAGAAATACGACATGGATTTCCCAAAGCGGGAGTGGAGCCACACGCTCAGTCTTCGTGGCCGAAGGGCTCACGAGGTAACTATTTCGTCGAGAATAACGTTTTTTGCAATGCAAACGGATTCATACGCGAAACATGCTCCGGCAAAACGCAAAATTGAAAACACGTGCCGATATCTCGAATCCTTCAATATTTCGTCGTTCAAAATGTCAGCGACGTCAAAATTAAATTGCCACGCGAAAATCATACCGTAACTAAATTTATTAACAAGATCTTTTCCCTATTTATATTTTATATAATTAAACGCGTCAGTTTTTATATATGAAGGGATTGTAATTTATAATTTCTAAAAGTTTATAATTTCTGAAAATTATTAAAATACTAGTTGGTGTCTTGGTTGTAGTTTCTTTCTCCTTGACTGCATGTCATGCCGCCATATGCTGGTGATTACGCATAAAAGAGAAAAGTAAAGATTGTGAGTTACATGCAAGGGATGCATGCCCTCGCATACATTATTCATAAACGAGTTTCTAGGCGAGACTGAGCGTTCACGTTGCTTCGCGATATCGTACGTCGCTTGCATGGGCATATAAAAATACCTTTCTACATATCGTCACAAAATATCGTAGTTGTGAAAAGGTAAATTAAACGAATTCGCCTGCATGCATTATTTCGGCGTAATTGCGTTACGTTTTATATATATATGCACACTTCCGGTAACGATAATTACGGATTGACATAAACGTAATTTAATCGTTGCATATGCACATTTATAATAAAATTTATATTGTTATTATTACTTTACGCGTCGATATTAATCCCGACAGACATATATACATATATTCGGAAGCGTAGAATTATTTTATACACGATGACGTGTAGAATAATATACATTCGCTATTAAAATGAGGTGTGCAGCAATAACGACGCTAAAGGTCTCTGTGTACACAATTGGATTTACGAAATCCGATATTCCGTTAGTTGACAAAATTAAAGGAGAGGAAATACGTGAATCTCGATCAAAGAAACATTATTCTGCTAACAAATCGAGATTAGACCCCGCACATTTTCAATTGTCACATTGAAAACGTCACCATTATCGCGAAATTTAATTTTAAATTGGTCTTCACCAAAGTCACGAAATTTCTTTACAGTCACGATATAAAACGGAGACGATTATATTGATCTCTCGCTGACATAACTCTCTCATTACGAGCAGTGATATATTCGGCGGTATAACAACGTGCCAGGTGGCGTGTTATCAACCTCTCGCGGAACACACATTGCACGCATATGTTAGGAACACAACGACGGAGAATGGAGGCATACGGTACCGACTATTAAATACTTCGAGTGTTTAGAATTAGATCCAATTTCGTCAGAAGACAACGAACGTCCATTAGAGCGTTTCAGTCAATTTTATCGTTGTATACGCGTGCCAAGTGGCACCCACATATCAAGAGGCGCTTCATGAATTTTTGTCTCGCAGCATTTTGAAACACCCCGAGTAATCCGCACCAGCGACAACTCTCGCTCATAAAGATAATATCGCAATATTTTAATATTATGATAAGATAAAGAATCGACGAACTTTAATTGAAAGAGCGATTTCAATTCAAAACCGTACGCTTTGTTATAATCGTATTCTCGAATCGCAGCTTCGGAATTTTTTAATTCCGTGCCAAAGAGAACGAAATATCATGAAAAAGCTCGTTTCACGTGTCCATGATTTGACAGATCGAACGAAATGCCCGGTAGAGCAGATTGCTTGCTATGCCAAATTCGAATGCAACAGTGCGCACCGATGCACATTAAAGGCTGTCGTACGTAAACTGACATAAAGGCGTATGCATAGTAATGCTGTATTATCATACATAAGCAGTTGGATCAGCAAAATATATGCACACGGCATAACTTATCGCATTGTCGGGTGCATGGAGAGAATACATGTCGGGCATTTCGTCAATCAAGACGCTTATGCTTTTACATCCAGACGAATTGGCGTGCAACAGGCTTTAACTGGTGCGCATCGCTCGACTGAATGCGCTATTAGATGAACTACAGGCGTGTATAAGGTGATAAACGATAAGCTGAAACTAAGTAGCTGTTATTTCGCAACGAATGGACAGAATGAAAAATAAATATAATACCGAATATGTAATACCGTAGAGGAAACCCGTCATTTTTATTAGTGCATACTGCAAAAGTATAATATACTTTGTAGTTATTAATATGTAGAACAATGTTTTCTGTAGAATAATGTTTAATTCATTTTGTTCTACTCATTACAAGATAACAGCTATTTCAATAATTTCCCAATTGTCATCCGATATGTTTAATAAGATGGACTAATTGTAAGATAAAGCCACCTACACAATTACGACGAGCCTAGGATTCAAGCGGAGAGCGGTATATAAATGAAACTATTAAACCTGCCATTATAAATGAAAATATAATGCGCCAAAAATGGAACTCAGTAAGATCGTGATTAAATCCACGACTGTTAAACGGTACGTTTAAATGACGTTTACGGGGCACTTGCAAACGCGCGAATTACCTTCCCGATAATCGTGTGCCGTTCTCACAATGAGACGGCATTATCATTTTAACGCCCTGCTCTTTATAGGCGCGTTTCCACGTTACATTCGCGATTTAATGCGTCCGCGCGGGTAGTATTGTGTGGATGGCCAAGGAATGCGCATGGTGCCTTAATACTCGCTCGAACCAGCTTTCTAGTTCGAGGATGCAGTCCAGGATAAAGCGGATTTCGTGCCGAATGTGCGCGCGTGTGTAATCCACCGCCGTATGTAACTAAACTGTCGCGCACAATGCATCCACGATGCAGCGCATACGCGGAATACCGCAAGACGTATGCACGTGTACACACGGTCGGGCAAGAGCTCCCCTTAATGCATTTCGCGCCGCGCAATCTCCTTTACCGTCACGATCTCATTTACTAATATGGAGAACGCTTGAAAAATCGGTTACTACGGTTATTACGGACGTTAATAAGTTACAACGGAAAATAATAAATGTGATTGATTTGAAATATGTGGTATATAAGAGAGTACGTGTACATAAAACAAATTTTAGGCATCATATGTAATAGTGTACAAAGAATTAATGTACGATAATAATGAATAGTTAATACATAAGCAGTTTGTACGTATATAAAATAAATTTTAAACGAAGTATTTAACAAACAAAGTAATTTAATAGAGTGTAAAGAATTAACGATGCGATCAATAGAATTAAAAAATTACAATTACATGAGTAGAAACAAAGGAGGTGTGAAAAGCGATCCCATAGCTTGTAGCTTATGATCAACTGGAAATTAAAGAAGAAACGTTGGGATAAGATAACAATCGAGTAACATGACGTTTAATTAGGGCTTGTGCAATTAAAATAACATGCAGTCGAGCGCATTTTGCAACACGCGTTCTGCTCGATTATCTTAAGAGTACAACTGCAAATGGAGGGGTTAAAGCCATAGTGGTGTAAGTCAATATTTTTGACAACTTTTTTTTTCTTCTTTTTTCAACATATCTGCATGTGTAGACTGCATCTATGAACTTAACTCGATAGGTTAAAAAAAGTGACTTACACCACTATGGCTTTAACCCCTTCAAATGTTAAATTTCGTGTTATCTCGTCTTTATGCACCGTTATCACTACCAATACAATTGACAATAAATTATACTCTGCAGATAAAATAAATTTATATACTTTTTTCTACATAGTTTTTCTTTGAATATATCTAGCTAACGCATAGTTCTCAGAAAAGAGCTCTTTGCAGTTTTATGCATCCTCCCATTCGTTGCATACATCCTCCAATCACATAAGAGCCATTTATTGGTGGAGCGGTGAGAAACGTATACTACACCCGTGGGTAACGTGGGTAACGCAAGGCCGATCTATTTCCATCGCTTTCTTCTCGAACGTTTTGGTTCGAATAATGTACTCGATTCACCTATAATTCAGAATACTCCGAGGGAATATTTTCTAGGAATATTTTTCGCTAGCTATATGTTTCGAATTTTTTCTTAATAAAGATTATGTATCATTGTTTCTAAAAACGTTTTTTGCCTCACAGTAGATAATTATAATTGTATATACATATAATCGGTACAATTATAATTATATAATTAGTGTTCCCTAAATAATTGTAATTATGTATAATTATATATGATTGTAACTATATGTATAAAATTATTATTTTTATTTTCTAATCATATATGAATATGCGTGCTGCATTCGCCGGCGGTACCGCTGTAAGGGATACTTTTCTGGTGAATTCAGGACGCAACGTGGTAACAATACTAACAATGCAAACGAAGCCACTCGTCCGTTAAAACTTGAAATTAAGGAATTCAAGAAAATAATTTGCTCGCCTATTTAAACTCGAGTATAGAGTTTCAGTTACAAAAATATTTCGTAATTATCATACGTATGTCTATATACATATATTAAAACTCTCTAATTGAACTAAAAAAGTTTATTTCTAATTTTTATAAATTCTTATAGCTCCTTAATACTTTTTTAACAAATAATTTTACTTACAATAGTATCTATAATATACTTAATATTTTTTTACAGATGCCGAAATACGCTTCTCGAATTATTAAAATAATTATGATATAAAAATATTTTTATAGAAATGCTCGAATTTGTGTTGTTCTAGAGCGATATTTACTATACGAAGTACATACATTTCTTATAGTTAGCTCGATACTCGACCGTTACAAATTAGGTTCGTGTTGGCGACCGGAATGAAAGAGCGCACGTATTTACGTCGTTAGAGGGTTAGAATAGAAAAAAAAGAAACATTTCGAATCAGACATGTTGAGAAACACGACTCTGGTAATATGTGGTAAAATATAGCGCGCACGTTCGCGGAGTCGTCCTCGCTGGCCCGCGTCGCGCACATTTCTTGGATCCTTGCGTGCGAGCCTCCCTAACTAATTAGCACCAACGAGTACCCGCGGAAAAGTTGTCGTTGAATAATTTAAGGAGCGGTGCTCGCTGACAATTTCCATCGGCAATTTCCCACGTAACGGCAGGCACGAGCAAACTGCCTCGCACGTAATAATCGATTAGAACCGATTCTGCGAGACAAATGGGTCTAACAAGAAATTGATTATTCGATTTGCAAAAAAACATCATATAATTTAAAAATATCGTTTAGGAATATGAATATTAAATTGAATATTAAACAAACGTGAATTTTCAACTGGAATACTGCAACTGCAGAGAAATTTTTTCGTTTTTTTTTAATTTTGGCCGTAAAATGTTTCGACCAAAGCTGATTTTTTATTCGATTTTTACACAGTATATATTAAATGCTGTGTAAGTTATGTTTTCATATAACATAAATAATTTGCTACATAATCAATACTATATGCTGACTGCGATATCAACATGTCGCGTTCGGTCAGCCGAAAGCAATCTTTCTGTTCAATGAACGGAATTAATATCTTCGATATATACTCAACATGATTAAAGTTCATTAATGAAAATATGAAATAAACGTGCACAAGGATAACCTATCTAGGATAACCAATCGTCGCTGTTCGTGTAAGTGAACTTACGGCTGGCATTTTCGCTTAATCAACAGAGTGCAAAGTGCGGATAGAAAAAAGTACCCTCGATGCGATTATGAGGAGAATTACGTGAGTAATTCAGAAAAGAAAGCAAACTTTATTTCATTTCATTTATTCTTCCATTAAACACGTCACGCTTCATTGTTCATTCATGGAAACCATAAATTATAAGGATTAACACAAGAAATGTTACATCTCCTTTCTCGTTAGCTATAACTGAGATTTCATTTCGGTAATTCCATTAAAACTGAACAGTATAATTTTACGTACGTTTTACCTTTACGGTAAACCGAGAAATTTAGAAGGTTTTATTTAATCATCAAATGCACATACAGTTACATTACGCGTTAAAGCGAAAGATTCACCGAATATATAGCGACGCAAAGTAAACGCACGTCAGCCGAGTATGAATTTTATATCTTTCTGCTAATGAAATTCATTAACAGAATGTGGAATAATACTTTACGCGAAGACCAGCGACATTTAAGTGATACATGTCAGTGTATGCTCCGACACTCACTCGCCTCACAAAAGTGAAACAATATCGGATTTTCTGCGTACTCTCTGGGAACATTGTCAGTCATAATAGAACGATTTTCGTAACACACGATATGAAAGAGCAGACGGTACGAAATGTCGAAGAGCTTACATCGCGGGAAAGATTATGAGGCGTCAATCGTGTATTTTATTCATTATAGAATTTGGAGAAAAACCGGATGGAAGAAAGATCAGTTTAATCTCTGTATTCCAAGTAAATGTCAGAATATAATGATATAATATTATAATATTATATAACATTATATATTAATGTTTATCCCTTATTTTAATTACATAAAAAGAAGTAAACAAAATCTTGCGTGAAAATTTTCCTCGCAATAGCGATCGATCAAAATGCACTAAAATTAAAGATGTCAGAAAATTATGACGTTAATGGATATTTGACTAGATATTTATTTTGCGTTCAAATACAAAATCATTATTTTTCACCTTTGCGAAGCAAACTAAATGTCATGTATCGCAATACCAGAACAGCGTTAAGAATAAGAAGCGCATTACACCGATGTATCGATAATACCGTTATCGCGAAAAATACATGAGCCTGTACCGACACGATAAAAGTTCCGCCGTTGGAAGATTCGCCGAGCTGAAAACTGCCTAGTGAACACCGAGATGATACACAGATGATACACGAAAAGGAGCGTGAAATCGAAAGAAGGTACAAACGTCTGCGAAGGCGTACAGGACGTATGACACGTATGTGTTAGGTGAAAAGTCGCACGTGTCAGTTTCAAAAGAAAGACGGATTTAGTTACCTATACTTTGAAACAGCGCTTTAAAAGAATAGCGAGACGACTTGCGTATCAAGAATGTCTGTAATGTAATTCATATTTTTCTTTTTGTTCTACATCCTTATAATCTTTATTATACTTTTTTATATCTTTTTAATATAAAATAATAGTTTTAATTATATATTAATTTAAGCTCATATCCTGAATTAATTTTATATGTATCTTCGAAATTTAACATACAGATGATTAAACTCCAATCCATATCTGACTTAATTTTATTCTAAAAGTATCGAATAAACAATCTCATTTATAAAGTCGGCTTTTGATTAGCTTGACAAAATACACATGATACTCAATCGGATTTCTCGCTAGACATCGGAAGCTTCGAAGAAATCTTTCTGAACCATTCAAACCCATATAATACATGAATAGGTAAGAAAAGGAACATTACTCGCGATTGGTCCTTAATCCAACTCTGGCCTGAAGAAAGCGTACATTGGGTGTCTTCAATGAAACTTTTTCACGAATCCCTCAACATGAAAGGATTCGCAAAGGATATTAGTGTCACATCAAGGTTGTTTTTTTTTACAAAAAAAAAAAAGTCCGAGTCTCCATTTCACTTTTCTGTTTTACATTTTTTCTCTTTTTTTCGCTTCAATATTTCAGGATTGTTCTAGTTTCGTGAGAATTCGATTTACAACGCAATAATTGACTAATAAAAATGCGACATTGATTTACGACAAAAGAAAAAAAGAAAGTGCTTGATCGAAGCATTACGTATTATTGATTATTATTATTATTATTACACACAATATATTGTACATATATTTCATTTTTTAGACTTTCAAATTTTTAGTTAAATGTTAAAATATGTTACTAAATTCTCAAGATTAATGTATGCGTTGTCATGAGATATGTAGGTTATATTAAATATTAAATGTAAACGAAGATAAAGTTACAAATATATATAAAATTTACATTAAATGTCAAGATTGCTAAACAGCTTTAAGAATCCAATATATGATAAAGTTTCATTAAAATTAACACTCAAATTACTTTTTTACACGCTTTCAAAATTTAATGCAACGATCAAATCCTAATTTAATGCTCGGTATGTAGAATGTTAATTGAGCAAGTGTGATCACCTCCCGTATCGTGCTGGCGTAATTAAGTGTGCTGCGAATAATTTAACGCGGGTCAGTTCTCAGTCGTTTGTGCACCGTGATAAGACGACTCGTGCATATCTGCAAGCCACATGACGGTGGCTGCATACGACATGCAAGGATTCTCTCGTATACCCTTATCCTTGTTCGCATGCACAGATTGTATGCATCGTTGCGCAAAACGCCGCATTGAAAACGGGGTGAAGTGTTCTGTTTCGCGAGAGAAAGATACGGGAAGCACGCGAAACGAGAGCGATGCGGCTTGTTTACCAGGGCCACAGTTTCAGTTCCTATCCCCGTCGTTTCGGGGTTGTCATCGATCCTGAAAAAGCAAGTCTCGCTTTATACTGCCGAGTGCCGTTTTCCGCGTCGACGACTCGCGTTTTCACGGCAGACGACGATCGCGATGAGGTGAACGCGCGTACGTTGGATTATAGACAATGACTACGTTGAAATCTCTGACAGCTCACGCCACGCTTTATACTCCCAAGCCATTTTACGACAACATCATTTCCGGTTTAAAGTACACATCCGGTACTATCGCGTCTGTTTTTTTATGAATGTGAATTCCTCAGTAATTTGAAACTTATTTCTTTTTTGCACACGAAAAAAAATGATGTTGTATCAACAGCAATATGAATGAACAAAAAATACCAGATAATTGTTTTATAATTTAAATATTTGGCCTAATAATATCCAATTGAATTAATTACATACGCTTGTGGCAGTCCGTGACGTTGATGTTTAATTGAAGCAATTTCATTTTTTTCCGTGCAGGGTGTTTCAAGAGAAGTCATTGTTGCAATATTTTTTGGTACTTGATTACGCATACTTTGATATTCATTGCGTTTCAAATACATTTTAAAGATATTTTCGTAATCTCGCGAATACACGAAGATGAGACGAGCGACGCGCTCGAAGGTGGAAGATTTTGAGAGAATTTTGACGTAGTTCATGCACGACGTTATGCATTGTAGTGCAAAAACGTAGCTTCACGTTTCTCTTCATACTGCAATTTCCGCGCAGAGTTGCGAAAATTTACGTAACGGGTGTCGACTTTCTTTTGACGCTCCTCAGGCCGTTTCACCTTCGCTTTGAGCAGAACCAAGTAGATACTTTCGATGCCTGAGGCAACATAAATAATGGCGTCTCTGTGACACAACACTCTTTCTGATCTGACATTAAAAATATTTTTGAAAATTTATATAATATCTTTCCCGGTAAAGTAGAAAAATGATATCTAAATTGCATAGCGTCAAAATAATTATTTTTCTATTATCTTTTCGTTCAGTTTTATATTTAAATAAGTTTAGAATTTTTCGTTCGTTAGTTTTTTGAATAAAAGAAGATAAGATATAATGCAATCCCAAATATAGTTTTTAAGGAAATTTTGTGATTATTGTAATTAACTAACGTCGAGTGGATAACGCCGTGTTTTGTCAATCGAGTGATCGTGTCTTTTCTCATTCCATCAGGGCGAAATCGGGCACAGAACTATAACCGGGGCTCCCAGGACCACCAGAAGATGGGCGAGCCTCAGGCAACATGTGACCAGTGGCCATGACGGTGGTAAACCCCGCGTTGAGTTGCTGTTCAATACGTCGGGTTCTAAACCCTCCACGCCGTCCTCGCAACCGCACACCCCTAATACACCGAAAACGCCGCACACCCCGCCCATCAAGAAGTCCAATTGGGAGGTCATCGAACACTTCACCGGCGCGCCGCGTCCCTCTATCATCACGGTGAGTTCTCGCTCTTTATCGAATGTGTTATCACGGATAAAGATAGGAATAAATATCACCGCGCTCGCGATTATGACACTAAATAAATCTTATTCTTTAGATTTCACATAAAATAATACAGACAAAATAATCCAAAAATGTAGAATGTTTTTAAAAGTTAAAATGTTACAAGAGTAAAAAAAAATTGGCAGTTATTTAATATGTTATAATCTGAGAAAGTGAATGTCGATTTAAATGCTGGTTGATTAGCATAGCTTATTTAAATAAAATTATAAATTATAACATTGAAGTATAATAAAAATTACAGCGTACATTTTTTTTAAACTGCTTGAACTTTGTAAGAAGAGATAAATGAGTGTAGGTGGAGTTACATATATTTTATAACTTTGTGCACAGCTTTGTAATTTATTGAGCTACAAATGTCTCGTAGCGTTAATTAATTTTTCAAATAATTAAACAATTGTCAAATAAATATTCATAATTCTACATATATTATATGTAGATATATGTATAGCTAATAGATGATATTAATGTTCAATATTATAGACAATTAGTTACAATTAATATAAATATTTTATGTGTACTTTGATACTTTCTCGATGTTTATTACCTAGTTTGTTATTACGCAAGTTTACGTACATAGAAAAAAGTGACAGATTTCCATTTCAAGACAATACATTTTCTGAAGACCCATACGAAATCATCAATAATTTCAATAAATTTGAAAAAAAAAGATGGTATTCGCAATTTGCATAGATTTTCATGACTAAGTTATAATTAAATTAATTAAGACTAGTTGAATTATAAGAAAGTAGAATTATATGTTACGATCCTGTATTTTTAGCAAGTCCTCCGACAAGTTATCATTATCCGTGAACAGCGCGCAGCGTAATTTTCGACATCGGAGAATGTTATTGTACTTCGTTACCAGACGGCCGGGTAAAATTTCGAGTATCTACGAGAAAGAGTACATTCTATTAACAGCCGCGCGCACGTGATCGTATGAGTGATACGTTTGTGCGATGCACGCGCATCACGTTTCTCCATTACCGCGACCGAGTCTCCAGCAGGAGGACTGCGAATCGCTGAACAAAACGGAGAAACAGGAAACTGTGCGGAAAGGCGAAACCACTTTGTCAGATCCCTTTCCCTTTGATACATCCGCTCAATTTTCAAGGTGACGGCGCGACATCGTGAAATTACACGATATTCCAGTATTACACTTTGCCAATAAGGTCCGTCTCCCCCTCGATATGAATCTCGTTTAACTATTTGGTCGTATTTTTACAATCGCGTTGCTACATCTTTGCGAACGAAATTTTTGTTATTGTAAAATTGCCATTTTGCACGACGAACCGTCGAAAATTGATGGTGCAATCCTCGTAAACACATTACAGAAAGTTTTCTCATCTAATGAGAAAAAAATCGCGATATCATGGAAAACAGGACGAATAAATAAATCGTAATAATTTTTCAACAACACGGTGGCACATACGTTTCGTCTGTATTTCATGTGTTTCATGATCTCTCTCCGAATGGGTGGGATTATCGTTACGGAAACTGCTCGCGGCCGACGTATGTACAAACAATTGCGCTGGGGTAGGCAACGATTATCGTATTACGGGCAAACACCAGCAAACACGTCCGCCGGCTACAATGTGTGCCTTTCGTTAAATCACATTTATGCACCGTGCGTTGTACTGTTTGCGCGACGAATCGGGACACAGTGATACTACCGGGTTCCCCGAAATTAACCAAAAAACGTGGACGGCACAACGTTGCGCGCTATGAAATTTGAATTATCGTTCTTTTATTAACCTCAAATATACGTTTTCGATATATTTGCAATTAAAAGCCCGTGATTAACATTCATATCAACGTTTGACGCTAAATAACGTTCGAATATTTATCTCTCCGTCTTTTCAAAGTTTGATTTCTAAGGCATAATCGTCACTCTGTTCGCAGGTGGCCAGAGGATCGGAGGTCGGCGTGGCACCGACAACTGGAAGGGAGTCTATGTCGGAAGCTGCAGCGAACGTAGGAATCACGCAGCACACGCGGAAATGCGCTCTGAGCAGATTCCTGAGCTCGCTATGCCGATCTCATCATTTCAAGAACCTGCAGGTAGGAGTGGCAACCATTTTCTGCGGCGCGCGTCCGTCTTTTCTCTTCCCTTTTTTTCCGTAATTACTCGAATATTATACGCCTTTAATAAGAGTGTCGGATACGTAATTACATCGATCGTAGCCAGTGCACAAATATTGGCTGAATCCGATGTAGATTTGCATCAAAGTAGAAACGATTAGGCGTTCCTGGCGTTCGCTGGTCTGGCAATCACGTGTCTGACCACACGTGGCTAGATCTACTGTGTGCCTACGCATATTTTTACGGACTTAACTTTGTTTGAAGTTAAGTCCGATGTCTAACGCTGAAAACAGCGCATAGTAATTACGAATTAAAACTGCGCCAACATAATTCTTACTAAAGAATTATAATAAGTATCCACGTTTCTGTAAAATTAGCTAATTGGAATTGTGTAAAATGTTGAACTTTGCTAGTATCTTAGTGATATATTGTCTGCTATAATAAATATCCTTATTTTTTATATAAAGGTATAGTTTCATTAAAAATAATATCGAAATTAGTGGTTTGTTGATCATGATAATAGAATTTATCTTTTCAATAATCATTTATGCATGGTTTCTCTTTTACTTTTCCAATAATTTCTGTGGTTTATAACAATAAGTACTCTCGCAATTTGGAATAAAAATATATGAAACTAGTATCATTTTCGTCAAACGTAATTTTATGCGTTAGATACACTTTTTGTCTTAAAAATATCTTGTCAATCTATCTAATCTTTTCAATCTTGCTAATGATGTGATTTCTTGAAAAATCCGCCGCTGACAATGAAGGACACGCCGACAAAATCTCAAGGCGACGTCTTAAGCTGACGGTAGTGACATTCCTCGTCAAATTCTTGTCATGCAAATCAATGATGTTATCGGAAATTAATTTAAGTTCGTCATGCGGAAGCACGCACGAGCAAGCGAAGCGCGTCGGCACCGTCGATTGACGTGCGTTGAGCTGCGTAGGAGTAACACGCGTTAGACTTGGCAAACTCAGGCAAGCTGGAGAGAGAGAGAGAGAAAAAGAGAGACGGAAAAAGAAAAAGAGAGTCGTTAACCAGAAGAATAAAATTTTGCGCAACAAGTTTCGGCCTTCGGAAATCCGCACCATGCCATAAAGTGGCACGAGGCGAACAGGTTTGCGACAATTTCAAGCCCGAAATTGCGGGCCATATGTATTCTCTCACGTTTGTGTGCTGTAATAACGCGATTCCGTCGCGAAACCGACAAATTGTCTCTCTCCTCGTAGGCCGCATATGTGTCTCGGACACAACCGCTGCGTTTTGCGGTTGAATCGTCGGTTTTGTCCGATGGAAAATAGAACGCGGCTGGCGAAGATACAGTCGTTCGTGGTGCCCGCGAGGCTGCGAAACTCGACGGTCTGGTGGCACGAACGATGTGGTTAACACGCTAGCCAACCACCCCTTTGCCAGTTGTATAGGGCTCGAACAGAAATATATCGAAATGTCTCGCCCGTCAAATGCAGCGAACACTCTAACAAGAACTTCGATATATGGAAATATCGCGGAGGTGTTTTAGAATATTGAATATTGGAACACTGCTGTCGAGAGGAATATTCCAAGTCGTATTTACTTTAGATTGACATACGGTCATACCTACGGTAATTTATAATTGCAAAACTGGACCACTTTACAACTTTTAAAAAAATTAACTTGAGAATCGTTATATATAACAAATGTTATATTCTTTAACGTTATATAATTTATTATAAACTCGTGTATTCATGAAGCTATTAATTAAAAAATTTTGAAAGCGATACATTATATTAGTCTTCTGTGTTTAAAATTTTAACGTATAAATTATTGAGAATCGTTAGATAAAATAGCTAAAATTTTGAATCTTCCTCCGTACAGAAAGAAAATTAGGACATATTTAACTTAATCGTTTTGTTATACAACTAGTATTTAAAAAAGTAAAGAAGTTTTTTACAATGCATCGCACGTAATGTTGAAAAATATCTTCAGAACTTACTGATTGGTTTTCTAGCAAAGAAAAGCGACGCTTAACCATTTATCTACTAAAGAGTTTCTTCTACGACTACTTTTAAAAGTTTGATGCATCACTGAAAACGCAGCGGATGCATTGTACATTTTGCTTCGTCGTTTCGCGTCGCTCTGCGCCAAACATAAACCTATCCTCACAAACAGCAAGTTGTTAATTTTTGTCGAAGAGTAATTTTCTTTCGTAAATTTTTACATTTTGTCCGTTGAGAAGTCAGTGACACACAGAATTCACCTAACATTAATAACATTAACTTAGAATCCGGATCTTACGAATTTCGTATAAGATAAACTCACTGTCGACGATTGGGATTCTTCGTAATTAGATCATTGAAGTTTTGCCTTGTTAATGGATCAGTATACTGTTATCCATTAACCGTCATAGTTTACCTACATCCGTTCTATTACGAGAAGTAGCTCAAGTAAATCCTAAAGTAAACTTATCTACTTCCAATCAATAAACATTACGGTGGCGTATCGACAGTTGTGTCTTCTTTCCTACATATACAAAATCGATCTGTCTTCCTACAGAACTATTGCTGCTCCTCTAATGGTTTCTTTAATGGCATTCCATCAAATGGATTAATAGCGCCAAGTATAGTAAACAAGAATTAACAAAATTAATATATAATTAATAGATAAGATTAATAGATGTCATTTAAAATTAATAATAATAATCATTAAAGATACTTATAAATTTATAAGCATTTAAATATAAAGTTAAATATAACAATTTCGGGAGAACGTAGCGCAATTAATGCGGATATTGGAAAAAATAGCCTGTAAAGCGGTTTCTCGCTTGGAAATCGGTACGGGTTTACGAGAGTCCTTGTATTACACGTGGGAATTCGAGGGCGACGACCCGTGAATTTGAAAATTGGCTCGCGATTGTCACAGAGAACGTGACAGGATAACCGGAAAACGGCGCGAATTACGATGTTCTTCGTGCGATTCCCACGGGAGCGACTTGCATTGTCTGGTCACGTAGATCGGAAAGCAGGGTCCCGAGTCGACGGGGGTAGTCGCCCTCGTGGGCGTTTTTCGCGTGACACGCGTCGATTTGATTGCGTTTCACTTCAGCAATATTCCCGTCGGCGATACATCGCGATACGCCTCCGATATGATGGCCATCATTTTTCCATTCAAGCGAGCGAGTCCGAAGGGAATCCGTCATTCTAACGTCCACGTCGCCGTGTTGTGTTGTCATATATCTGACGAAATATATATCCTTATCGATGCGTTAAAGGACTGCGGTAATATAGGTGATATCGTGACACATTTTCGTTAACAGAACGGCCGATACGCACATGTTCATTTGAATTGTATTTGTGTATTATAAAGTGTATCTAAGAAGTGTATTATACAGAGAGAGAATATAATAGCAAATAGTTTTTTAAATAATATTAAAAAATTTTCGTTTACAAACGCTGATTAATTTGGATTCGAGTTTTAATCAATAAATAAATGTTGGAGTATCAAGTTTTGTAGCTTATAAATAAAAAATGTGATTTAAAAAATCATAAGTTTGCGCGCAAATTGATTTTCTAGAAGGCAAATAGATAGCGAAGTCTTATAACTACTTCCAGCTGCACGAGATAAATTTCAAATAAAAGGCTTATTTAAATTACATTATAATAAAAACCGGAGTATTTAAATGGCAGCAATAATTATGATGAAAAAGGCGCTCGCAATTGCGAACATTGGAATACTAAATGTCTGTAATACGAGCCTACAGATAGGAGGAAAATATTTCCTTGGAGAAAAACCATGTAGCACAAATGTATGCAAATGACGAAAATTCTCAACGAAATTATTCAACGCGCCTGGAGGTATCACGGTCACACGTGCGTGATTATTCATATTTTGTCGCATTGTGGTTAATTGATTTCTTTCTTCAACGTTAGAGATAAAACGACGTCGTCGTTGTATTTAATTATTATCGGCAATTTAAAGAATTTCGTCGGAAATATTATAATTATGTGCAAGAGAAATCGAGGGACAACGTTTACAGACGCTTTGAGAAGAACGGTAATTTCGTTCGGATATCGACAATTTTCGAGAAATTTTAGAAAAAATTTTTAAGTCTTAGGATATTTACAGAAAATCTAAACAGAATTTCTATTAATTTCTCGACAGTTACATATACTGATTCGGGAATGTATAATGCTAATTTATGGCGGCCTAAAATATTAATTCTTTTCAATCTATCTTTGCTATAACTCTTCTTTTATTATTATTCAAGGTAAAAGACGGTATTTAATTTTCCTTTCCGTCCTTCGGGACCTACCTTCACAACGAAGGAGAAACTCTGAAATTACAGCACCGACAAATGCAGTGAGCGAGGCGACTTAAATAAAATTTATTCCGACGGTACATACCCCCGGGGTCCGACAGACTTAATCCGCCCAATATCTGTCATTCTGTCACGATCGTTCCCAGCTTACAATCGTAGCCGCAAACCGAATGCAGTTCCTTGAATCGCGGCAAGATTACATCGAGACGGAAGTCGATTATTCAGCAGTCGGCGGATACGACCAGAGGGAGTAAGGGAGGAAGAGAGAGAGAGAGAGAGAGAGAGAGAGAGAGAGAGAGAGAAAAAGAGAGAGAGAGAAGCGATGGAATGACGAGATTCATGGAGAGTGAAAGGATCGACGAGAAAAGAGGATAGAGGTTTGTTCTACATGTGTCCTTTGGTCGCATTTGGTTTGCTTTTTCAACTCGACGTAACCCGCAAAACTTTACGACACCCTTCGTTACGTCGTCATCGCTGGCCCTCTCGACAGAACCGTCATTTTTCAACCATGGTAAAACCAGACCCATGAGAATATCCTGCGTGTATAAGCGGGCAAACAAGGGTATACCGGGAGTTAAACGAAGTGCATCACGATTTATGCTCGGAATTTACGTCACAAATTTCCGCGGGGCAGGCTCTGTCCTTTTATAACGGAACAATGGATTACGCATTACGCTCACATATGAGAAATATCGAGAACATCGTCGAGACCAAACAGAGATACCGGAAAACGTTGAGGATGATCAACGTTTTTATATCTGTTATAATTTAAACTAATATTGTATCATATAATATTGTATTATGTATTATAACAAAGACTTTCGCAATATACAATAACATGTAACAAAAGAGCCAGTTTGCGAACGTCGTCGCTTGAAAACCGTATATGTTACACCCATATCGGAAAGCGGCGGTTGCGATTCCTGCTATATTTGTAACGTTGCATTGTTCGCATGCGCTTCATAGCATAGTGAAAGATTAAAATATTAACGATTCAATGCAACGATAACGCGCCTTTGTCGATCGCTATGACTACTGATAGCCAATGGTCACCAGGCTTTCCGATTGCACCCGATGACAGCAATTCCATCCGGGATACGATAAGATCTCTTCTCTCGCCAATCCTACAGAGAGAGAGCAGCGAGAGAAAAATCGCGTTGCAACCGGCTATCTATCGATTAGCGGCTGTTATCTATCAGGATCGATTTTTTCCACGTGATTCGCGCCTCTGTCGAATTCGATTTAATTAAACCTTACTTTTGCGCTCTTGCAATCTGAAAAATTCGCCTAACGTTAGCGATATTTTATTGCACGGATTACAACCTGCTGCGCCGTAAATACGAGCGTGCCACGACAAACACGTGCCACGCTTGACGTGAACAAACAAATTACAATAAATAAATTTTGTTGCATTAGTTTGTATTAAAATAAAATTGCTTTAAAAGACTTACAATTCGCAAAAATTTAGGATAAAATTCCATACATAATTTTATATATCATAAATCTTGATATATATTTTAATACATATGTATGTGTCTATTACGTATACACGGGGAAAAAGGATTTGCTATTATAGGGCCAACAAACATTTTTTGCTACGAAAACTATAATTTAGCTATAGTAGCAAAATCTTTTTGCAATTGTTACTAAGTAGCGAAAGTTCAGCAAAACTTTTTGCTATTGTAACAAAAGGTTTTGCTATTATTGCAAAATTAATAGCTCTCGCTGCCAAAAATGTTAGTCCATTTATCTATTTAACGAATAGATTTGCTATAGTAGCAAATCCTTTTTCTCCGTGTATTTTTCACATAGAATTCTATTCTAAATTCTAATACAAGTTATACCGTAGTCATTAAATCGACTTAATTTATTTGTTGCAATGCATAAGAAAGAAGCATTAAAATCATAATATTCCAATCACAATGTATACACGACGATGAATCTAACAATTTAAACAGTAAATATAAAAATCGATATGACGATGCGTAGGTACAAATTAAATTTTACTACCACATATAAAATCGTTTCTTCAACTTTTTTTTTAGCAAACGAGTGACTGCCGAAGCAGTGCCTGAAGGGAATACTTATATAATGCACCTTCCAAACGTATTGCTGCATTGCAGGCAGATAAATCAGGAATATGCTAAGGAACACGGAGTACGAAAGCACATAAAAATAAAATTCAATCGTTCCGGGATTTTCCTTCCTCACATTGTTTGATCTGGATTTGATTAAGTTCCATTTTCGACAGACGGTCCACAATTCTTTGCAAACAGCTCGTGATTCGCGCTACGTACAAATTGCACCGACCGCGCAGAATAACGACGGTACGCCACGTAAAATTCAACGCTAACAGTAACGTAATATGTCTGCGCGCAAGTCTCTGCAAATAGATACCGTTGTGATGATATAAATTTCAAACCGCTTCCCGATCTTCCCTGCGATTTCTATAGGACATTCTGTTCATCCAATAGTATCTACTCTTCCTATATAATAATAATCAGTAAATAGAACATACATATCATTATCTCAGCATCGTTTCTTTCTATCTCGTGTCACGGTTAATTATATTTTACACACGAGAAATTTAAAAAATAGTATCGTGTATTATCGTCCTCGTTATTAGAAAAATATTGCACATATGCGTCTCTACTGCTTGTGATGCTCACATCTCATATCATAAAAAAAATCGTAGAATGTATATATTACTATATATCATAAATATAATATAAAATTTCGTCAGACAGATATTTCTCTCTTTATCAAAGCAATATCAAGCGCGTTATCAAAGGTATTCATTTAAGTATATATCTCAATTATACTTCATATAGAATTTATAATAGAGTAAAATATGATGAAAACTCGTTATAAAATGCATTGTAAGCAAAATGCAGGTCACAGATTGCTTCAACCGCTACACTATTAAAAATGCACTTTAATGCAGAGTCTGCATGCTTAAAAAAAGAAAACAGTTTCTAAAATAATACCTCTTAAAATAATGGAAAAAAATTAGCGTTCCGAGCAGTCGCGAATCGATTTTACCTACATCTATATTATCTCAGAGAAGTTTTCTCTATATACTCTTTCATATATTCTAAAATAACTTCAATATAAGAATATTATATAATTTCTCTTCCACTTTTATTTTAATTAAAGAACTTTGAGCCAACTTGATATCGTTGATAACGATAATAATCGAAAGCGTAATTGTTTGATAATTTGAGTAAAAATATATAAGCAATCTTGTCTTTTTATATAGGCTGTACTTTTATTGGGTATTATTGTTACTAGATGTATTTTGCCTAAGTTTTGTTCCGAATTTTTCTAGATGAATAGGATTTTACTTTCAATTTTAGATGCAATTTTATCCGGTGAAAATTGGCTAACTTGTAGAGAGACCCTCTATCACCGATTTTAATCGGCGATCCTCCTTTTTTTAACGGTAACGTTGCACAGTGTAACAATTAACTTTGACGAGATATTTCGCGACATATATATTTTTATCGACATTCCGAAATAGAATAGGCGTATTGCTCGTAGATTGTAGAATCTCTACATATAACTATGACTTAATATAATCATATCGATACATTGCAGTAAGTGTTTTATTTAGTGGATAATTTAAATCCAGTAACTAACAACTATTAATTTACCGCAATAATAATTTGTAGTAAATTATTTTAATAAATAATATCTTTAAAACTTCTATCATTCGCATTCACTTACGTGACATACAAGATACAGCGATATCAGTTTACTGACGAATTCTTGATTAACACCAAATATGTAGCAAATCTGTGGTCATGTTTCAGGTTGAAATGCTGTACCAGCGCTACTTCCTACGTATGAATCAAAGCAACATGACACATGTGCTCGGTCTACTGGTCGGTTTGGCGCTCGCATTGGGCCTACTACTTATCATGAAGTTAATGCTAACCAACGACCAGCCGATCTTCACGCTGCTACAGAAACCTGAAAATCTTTCTCTCGCGATCACTCTGGTAACCTGCATCGCTATTTATGCCGGTAAGACTCAATTTTTTCGAATTAATTTTTCACAGTCAACGATTTTCATTTTTCGGCGGTGCAGAGATGTCAGAATTAAGTTTACATCTGTTTTAAGATTTATCTGAAGATAACTTTGTACCTGTTTAAGAAATTTACTTAATATATTATTCTGGAATTTAAAAATTATTTAAATACTGCTTCTCTTTCTGTCCACGTATTCCTGAATCGATTTAAAATTTACTTTCAAATTTACTACATTTTAAATTACAATTCAATTATAATTAAGAAATTCTTTCGTAATTAAACCAAAAATACAGTTTTTATGTTTATGTAAAAACTTATTTTTATTAAAATTACAATTATATTTAAATTTAAGTTATATTTAAAATCACAGTTATACTTCTCTAAACTTTCGATAAACTTCCAGATACGTTTCCTTTTATCGAACGGAAAATCAAATCCAAGTTGCTCGAAATATTTGCGAATAAATGGAAAAGAAATCTAATCATCCAACATATATTGCGTCAAAAACTTATTTACAGGGAAATCTCGAGCTTTTATAAAATATGCAGTTTGAACATTACTGGAATTGCATCGAAAGAGCTCTTTCATCCTACGAGATGTCGCAAGCGCTAAAAGACGTACATTCTTTCTTATCCTATCCCCTATGTACAGAGAGTCTCTGTTTTCCGTGAGCCGCGATGTTTCACGAGAACCCGTAGTATCAATAATGCATGAGAATATTGTCTATAAGTGCTGTTTCCTTTCGAAAGCGTCAGGACGCGCAACAAGATCCGCTTTGTGCAACAACTCGCGTGTAGCTGTTTCCTTCCATATCATCCCTTTTAACGGAACGAGCTTTGAACGAGTAATGTCGGACCAGTAATTTTCTATCTGAAGAAGTAATTTTCTATCTGAAGCTTACTTGCATGTCAAATGTATATAATGCAGAAATTTGGAAAGCCTGCAATAAATAATAATAAGCCTCTCTCTCCACATTTCCGACGCGGAAGAGAAAAAAATTCCCAAATTTACGGGAATCTGTTATTGAAATATCGCCCATTCTGAAATCTATATATTAAACATTCGTGCTATTTCGTATCGCCTTCGTATTTCTAAAAATTCTCCGAACACTTCGAAACGTAAGATTCGGTAATAAGCAACAAATTATTTTCCAGCTTTGGTGGCAGCCATCTCCAGACCGGGCATGAATGAGATATGGCTGGCTGGTGTTAGTGGCGCGGTGCTAGTCACCCTGCTAGCCCTACAGGTGACCCTGAGCATTCATCTAGCGCGGCTGCACGAGGTGGGGGGTCGCGAGAATACCGCCGACACATCATTCTCCTTTAAATCAAAGGACCTTCGAACCGGGGGACCCCTTGCCGCCACCTTAATGGTCTGCTTTTTCATCTATATGGCCTACGCTCTTTTGCCGATCAGACTCAGGCATGCCTGCATCGCCGGGATTGTTTTCTCGGCCGCTCATCTTATCGGAGCCTTTCTGCTCTATCCGCATTATCCATCCATGATGGCACACGTGAGTCTAATCACTAAGTCTAAACCACCATTAGCAAACTTCGCTTATTTAAGAGCCTTCAAAATCTCTTCACTTATTAGATTAAAGAAAAGCGCTACGATATTTTCTAATTTTCTTAAATGTGAATCCACCATAAAATGCAAATTTAATGAGGCTGATAAGGCGCTCGTAAAAGTTTTTAATGCCTCGTAAATAAGTTCTCTAAGTTTCTATTTAAGAAACATCCTCAATGTTTCCTTTTTAAGTTAGTAAAATTTAAGGGATTGTATTTTTTATTGAATGTGTACAATTAATAATTAGATTTTGTATGCTATTATAATTAGATCGACCCTAACATTCTAACTTTTCACCGGTTTCTAAAAATAATTTCGTATTTCGTGTCGTAATAATTTTAAGAATTGCGTGATTATTTTAGACCGTAAAGAATAAATTTTCTGAAGTATTCGATGATAATATACTAGATAATCACAGATATTCGATGTTAAAAAGTTTTCCAGCTTTGTTGCGGCACATATGACAATTATAAGCTGTAGATTCGTGTTAATTAGCGATCGAGTTTATACGTATACTACGTTTGGTCCAGCAATTAGCGAAAGTAGGTTACGCGATGATATTAATTAATCGATGTTACGCGGGGCTCATAGTGCATTGTACGTTTCCGGCGTGTGTTTCTCATATATCGCCACGTGATTCTTGGTCTGTTTTTCAGTCAAGATATCGCTTATTACAGTATTGTATCTACATACATATTATATTATACAACATATAATAATCTCTCATGACAATCAAGTCCAATAATTCTTTGAAATAATCTTCAAATAAGATATTTGAATATAAATAAAGCAGATTCACATGTACATATAAACATTAGTTTCTTTTCTTTTATGTTATATAGAATATTCAGAGCTAATATAGGCAATGTAAATAATTTAAATTTTTTAATAAAAATTAAAGATCATTTAGAAAAAGGTCTTTTTGTATTTCTTGCATTTATACATGCTGCATAAAAAAAATCTATAATTTAAGTCTAAAATCGCGAAATATATATACCTAGATGATATTTCCGTAACATAATCTATTTCTTTTTTGTTTTTGATATATGCATTATAAAAAAATCACCTAAATTCTAGATAAATTTAATACAAGCTCCTGATAAACCTTTTATCAAGTATTGAAAATATTTCTTTAATATTATATAACGTCGTTATACTTCGTGATTATCGGCGCTGAAAATGACGGCGTGAATAACAGTGCAATTATTAGCAAAATTGGCACTGTAATCAATACATATCGTCACAGAAATGGTTGGAGTTCACGAAGTGACACAATACCCGGCGACCGTACACGCATCTATTTATTAACGTTGCACAAAGTGGGCATGAATGCCCGAAACGAGGTGTGTTGTTCGCAAATAGCTGGTGAACTGAATTGGAAATCTAATTAAAGCGGATCTCGATCTGCTTCGATGTTTGCCCGAGCACGTTTTGACATGGTATTAATTTCATTTCTATTGTCGGATTTTAAACATAAGTGTTCGCGAAACATAAGCGTTCTTCGGATCCTTTTTATTCCTTCATTTTCGTATATGAAAGAAAAGAGAAAAATAAGCACCATGAAAAAAAAAACTTTGGAAAATCTATAAATAAGGAAATTATTAAATCAGTTCCGTAAAACTAATCAGACGAGAGTTACAAACGTAAAAGATCAAAGAAATATGTATTCCATGATTTTTCAAAGAGAGCTTTAATAAATTTCAATGAATTTATTCAATGACTTTAGTTATGATGAAAGAAACGTGAAAACAAGTAAACAAACCAAGCGTCAAGATGGCAATCGGGAAACTAGTTTTCTTACGACTGTATTCATTACAAATCTCATTAGCTTTTATACCGTGATCAGAGAGCATTGGCTTGATAAGAGATAAGAAAATAAATCAATGCTGCGGAAAAAGCTAAAGAGAACATCGTGCTAGATGCCGACCCCGCTTGTTGTGAAGTCTCGTGGAAAGGGTTTGGTCTTATTGCATCTCCGTCCGCGAATGAACGTTCCCATCCATCAAGTTTCTCGCCTGGATTCCCCCTTTTCGCGCTCTATTTAAGTTTTATTACGTCGAGAACTCAGGATTCCACGTAATTACGAACGTATCGAGACCGCGCTTTGTCGCCTTCTGTCGTCACCGAAGAATCTAACCGTTTTTTAAAGGGCAACACTATCATGGTGGATGCAAATAGATCTATTATAACTAAAGCTGATAAACTGGATATTAATAAAGTATATAAATAAAATTGCCTAGTACGTAATAAAATCTATAAATAAAATTGCTTAATTGCGCAATAAAATATTTCTACCAATTATTATAAAAGTGCCTTAAATTGTTGACATAAAATAACAGACTTATCATACTGATTGTTTCGTATAGTTGTTCATATTCTACTTGTAAACATTTATTGTTAAAAAAGTGCCATATATAGAAAAGCATTTCGAATATATCCTCTTAAAATATTACAAAATAATATTTTAATGCCTACGCATTCTTCAGTAACCTTTTAATAAATAAAAGCGCGAAGAGATAGAATTATCGAGAAATGTGCGATTTAAGGTATGGACGATATATTTAGGATATAGATATAATATAGGTAGATCAAATTAAGCCACCTGAAAATAGGCTGGCGAAAGCCGATGATTCGAACAAAGTGAACGGATTGCGTATCGTAATCTCTTTCAAATGTAGTCTCTGTTAGAATCCGCGTGGCACACCTCGCATGTCAGCGCATTAATAATTCATCCGGCTCGTTATTTTCACATTCGGGAGAGTAATATCATTTCATCGGCCAGGCACAGCCACGTCCCACAAAATGGACCGTAATTGCTTTTCACGCCGCCGCGTCCGCGCAATACATACGACGACCCCCGATATAACGTTAAAGGCCCAGTGAAGGGCTTACGCTTTCAGATAATCTGCGTGTTGCACCTCATACAGAATGAAAAATAACGTTTTAGTTACTAAAAGAAGCTCTCGTTAAGCTACATAAAACGATGTGTCTGAAAGAATCACGCGCGATTCTACAACGTACGGTTAATTAACGAATTGCAGCAAGGGAGTCACGTTTGCAGGAAACGTTTTATGTACTATCGCGTAAAATCAAATTACCTTTTGGAAACTGTCAAGCTATTATAATTATATTCTAAAAGAGACGCTCGTGTAATTTTATAATTTTCAGTTATCTTATTGTCATTAGTACTGAATATTAATGTACGGAAAATTATTATATTCTTGCGGTTTACATTTTTAATGATGCATAGAGCAATGATAAAAATAATTGTTTTATATGTATGTGTAATTTCTGAAATAATCGTCTTTGTTCAAAAAATAAACTAAAGTTGCTAAACTTTGAAACTTAAGAAAAGATGTAAGGTGAAGCGAGGTGAAAGAAACACATAGCTAAATAAAACTCCGAACGGTTTATCATGAATTAAGGATGCTCGTAAACCGATCCTTATTACGGCGAACAATTTGATCTTTTAGGATGAAGTATCGCGAGGTTCTTTCACTGAGCCAGGGAACCAGGGATCGACTAAAAATCGTAAAAATTTCAATAAAGTTGCCAACAATAAAATATCATAGCCACTTGCGGTTACATTGTCATCTTAAATCATTAACTTGTCGATACTGCACTTTACTATCGTTGCAAGGGCAGAATTTGTAATACTAAATTTGCGACACTAAATTGATTATTCAACAAATTGAAAAATATAAACTAAATTTACATATTAAAAAAAAGTAAAACTAAATATTCAATGAGTCTTGTAAAAATAATAATAATAATCTGTCATCAGGATTCATAGTCCTACCAAAAATGGCAGGAGATAATTATAAAGTTACTAAAATTAAATTGACAGTACCTATAATTTCACAGTTTCTTGTAATTTTATACTTGTTATAAAACCCTCTTGCAAAAAATGCTTCAGTAAATTACTGTGTCTTAATTGTTTTCTTTAGATATAAATCACGTGAACATTCTGTAACGTTAAAAATAAATGGTGTAAAGAAATTGTACGCATAGTATGTACACCCGCCGTAACTTTAATCCCATGTAAACTGACAGTTCAGCGCATTTTTCGTTTAGCTTGAGCGAAGATAAATTGAAAGATGGTACTTGGCTTTATACTAATCGGCTTATTGCGTAAACCATTTGACGATCATTCTGGGACAGTATCACATTCACTTAAGAGAGTGTAATTATATTAAGAACGCGACTTCGTGATTGATCTATGTGTGAGAAGTTTTCTCATTTTATACTATTATTTTGCTCATCCTTGTATACGAGCATATGCAACAAAATATGCATAAGTATTACGAATAAGCTGCTTTAGCAATAAACATTTTATAATAAGTAGCTTGCAAAATATTTGCTGTTTACGCAAATTATCAGTGGAGCACAGATTGAAAAGAATGTATATGTATGTACACACACACACACACACACACAAAGAGAAAGAGAGAGTGAAAGAGAGAGACTTTTTAGAAGATTTAACTTTTTTTCTTACCAAAATATATTTTTGCGAAAAGGCCAAGCCTTATCGTTTCGATTTTTCTGTACAAATCATTCATGTATCAAAATATCGTGCTGCTGATATCAAAGAAATTACTAGTTGCGTTCTCCAACAACTGGGGCCAACAGCAATTAAACATTATAGACACGCGCTGAATGTAGTTCCTCGCGAGGCAAACGAGGAAACTTTCCTCGATCTACTCGCAAAGGGAAAGTTCGCGGGACTGCGACGTCCGTTAATGTATTCTCGGCGTTAATGTCCTTATCACGTGTCCGAGTATCCACGCGATAGGCTCGGTTAACTTGTTGTCACTACTCACAGTCCGCAAGAGCGAAGCTCAACAATAGTCCTCAAAGGACCTTTGAACCACACCGGAGATGCAGTATTCGACGAAAGATGCTGCCCACCGACACTAATGGACACAGACATCACGTTCTAGAGGTTTG